GTTACTTGGCTTTCTAGGATATGCGGGTGAGAGGACGTGGTTTACCAATGCACTAAGCCCAAACTTTTTATTGAATCAGCCATATAACAGGAAAAAGAAAGAAGCAAGAGTATTGCAAAGCAGTCTAAAAGGTAACACATTTTTTAAAAGCACAATTTTCCTAATTTCCATTGTTTCTTTCCTCTTCCAGTTAGAAATTTGTACAGCAACTTGGTTGTATTCTGGGCACCCATTTGGTTCCTTTGGAAGTACATATTTCTCTAATTGTACAAGTGAAGAAACTGACACTTTGAGATGTTGATGAATTTGCCCAGAGTCACACATACTGATTAACAGCAGGTGGTTTTCAGTACCCTTAGTCATATTTCTTTTGTGATGATTGAAACTTTGGATATTTACCTACTTAAAAGATTTGCCTTAAAAAAGTGGTCAGACTCAACATTATGGTTTAGTCTCTCCATATTTAAACATTTTCTGTGGTTTGTGTGCATGATCTTAATGTGGACAATTTTAACCTGCGTCAGCCTTTCACCTAAGGGTCGAACTGCCTGACTATATATTCCAACTTCTTCATTGCCTGGATTTGTGTGATCTTGAGAGTTAACTTCATTTCTTCGTGTCTTTTCTCATCTGTAAATGGAGATAGGCTAGGTATGAGGTTTAAATATAAAGCACCCGAAACAACACCACATGGTATAGGGTAAATGCTCAAAAAATGTTAGCTCTTAAAATTACTGATGCTTTGTGAATGTCTGGATATTTCTCCCTACTTCCAGGTGATAAGGGTTACAGATTTGTTTATTTAAAGTAAGCTCTACACCACTCATGGGACTTTAACTCACGACCCCGAGATCAAGAGTTGTATGCTCTACCAACTGAGCCAGCCAGGCACACAGGGCTTACAGATTTTAAATACTATATTCTATCAACTCAAGGATGCACATATTTATGTATTATCATTGTTGGCATCGTAAATTCCTTGATTTCTGGAGACCTGTTAGATTCTAAAGATAGAGGGATACCTGGGTGGCTCAGCGGTTTAGCGCCTGCCTTTTGCCCAGGGGATGATCCTGGAGTCCTGGGATCGAGTTCCACATTGGGCTCCCTGCATGGAGGCTGCTGCTCTCTCTGCTATGTCTTTGCCTCTCTCTCTCTGTGTCTCTCATGAATAAATAAGTCAATAAAATCTTTTAAAAAAAGATAGGAAAATTTGTTTAAAAAAACTTCATCTCAAAGCTGGATATAAAATTGGTGAATTGTCTATTATTTTTGAATTATGCAGGCCTATTTTCATATCTCCCAGGAGATGTGGGGTTACCCTGAGTGCAGGAAAGGCAAAAGCTGGGGCCTGGCTTGTCCACCTCTATCTTCAACCTGAATAGCTTCACTTCTCTGTTTAAGGGAGAAACACTTTTGTCTTTATTTTTATTTTTTATTTTTTTCACTTCTGTCTTTAAAAAGATTTGGAAGTCTGTAATCTGTATAGTGTTCAATTCTTCATTAACTCCTTGCCTTATATGAAAGAAGTTTTTCAAGGTATTGAGGGCATTTACTAACAATAGTTAGTAAGAGTTGGTGAGTCAGACTAATGAGGCCAAGGTCATGAGTTCAGGCCTTATGTAGGTCATTGGACATTACTGTGTCTGCCACCAGCCCCTGTATCTAGAATTTGATTCAGTGCATACTATGTAAGAATTGCTGGTGAGTGAGTCAGTGGTCGTCTTTCTGGGGAAGGATAGTGTTTTGTCATTTACTCAACATACAGGCTCATGCCAACAGAAAACTCTGAGAAATAAAAAAGGTTATTAATTACTTTGCCTATATTAAGGAAAGCGTGTAGGAGATCTCAGTGCTTTTGTATCAGTCCAGAGAGGTAATGCTATTCATTCACCCTTACATCTTTTTTTTTTTTTTAAAGTAATCTCTACACCCACTGTGGGGCTTGAACTTAAGAGTCACTTGCTCTACTGACTGAGCCGACCAGGTGGCTCAGCTGTTGTGTCTTTGAAACATGTCAAGATCATATAAATTCCAAAACCAAGTATAAATTCTTTCCAGATTATTTATCCTTCCTTGAGGAAATTGGAGAATAGGTGGTCTGCCTTTCAGGGTCTCTTGTACCATTGACTTGCTAAGTACAATTTTTAAAACTCTATAGGAGGTCCTGTTTGAACACGTTAATGTTTCACAAGTAGACTAATATTGCCTGTTTTCCTCAGAGCTAGCTTGCCCTTCATCCTTTCCTCCTCTGTTGCCTTGGATGGTCCCCCCAACCCCAGCCCCACTTTTGGTGCACCTTTCCCCCCTGAACTCTTTTTCAGCTGTCTTTGGAACCGCCTTTATACCTCCCCTTATGGTGACTGAGAAAGGTGGAGATAATGTTAACAGAAACAGACTTCTGTGGAGCCCCAATGAAGTACAGGACAAATGCGGTTCAGCTTCCTTAGAGAGCACATGGCATTTTGTTTGGTTCCCTACAGAAATGAAAGATGTGAAAAACCTAAAGCTTTTAAAGAAAATACCTTCTTGTGTATAAAGCTTCCCACTGTCCTCCTTCAAGTGACAAGGGTCTGTGCAGAGGAAGATAGTGCTGATCCTGTGTGTGTGTGTATGTGTGTATGAATTTTCCTTTAAAAAGTCTTTTGTGGGGGTGCCTGGGTGGCTCAGCCAGTTTAGTGCCTGCCTTCAGCTCAGGTCATGAGTCCAGGGCTCAAGCCCCACATCCGCCTTCCTGTTCAGCGAGGAGTCTGCTTCTCCCTCTGTCCCTCACCCTGCTTTGTGCTCTCTCTTGCTTGCTCACTCTCTCAAATAAATACATTAAATCTTAAAAAAAAAAAAATGTTTGGTTACTTAGTAGTAGAGTGAGGTTTTTTTTTTTTTTTTTTTTTTTTTTTAAAGAATTCATTTTTCTCTTTCTCTTGGTTAGGCAATAAGGGTGTTTCTTAGCCCCCTTAGGGTAGGGCTGCTGTGTTCTCTGGGACCAAGATATGTGTCCTTCACTCTTTTTATACATTGTCCTTTCTTCATAATCCCAGGTCTCTCTTCTGTTTTCTGCTCCTGGAGATTTCCCAGCTAGCATGCAGTCTGAGTCTGGTCTCACAGTTTCACACAACAGCAGTGTTTCTCAACTGTTCCATACATGTTTCATATGACATTTTGGGAAACATGACTCCTAGACTCTTAGGTCTTTTCTTTGCCCTTTATGTTTTCCAGAATAAAATGAACAAGTAGAACTTCTTTTAAAAAGATTTTTTGCTGGGCAGCCCGGGTGGCTCAGCGGTTTAGCACTGCCTTCAGCCTGGGGCCTGACCCTGGAGACTCGGGATCAAGTCCCACATCGGGCTCCCTGCATGGAGCCTGCTTCTCCCTCTGCCTGTGTCTCTGCCTCTCTCTCTCTCTCTCTCTCTCTCTCTCTCTCTCTCTCTCTCTCTCTGTGTGTCTCATAAATAAATAAAATCTTTAAAAAATAAAATAAAAAGATTTTTTACTTATTTGACAGCATACACTAGTAGGGGGGAGTAGCAGGGAGAGGGAGAAACAGGCTCCCTAACGAGCAGAGAGCCAGATGTGGGGCTCAATCCCAGGAGCCTGGGGTTGTGACCTGAGCCAGAAGCAGATGCTTAATTGACCGAGTCACCCACGTCCCCCAGCAAGTAGAAATTTAACTTTCTCTCAGCTCTCCAATGTGTAACCACTATTCCAGAACCCTCTGGACACACTGCCTCAGTAGAAGTTTGTACTTCCTAGATGATGGTCACATTTCTGAAGAGAGACAGACACACCACGGATTCTGGGGTTAGAATCCCTTATATAGATTATTTTAGCAACTAATTACTTAGAGTAGTCCCCACTTAAATGGGTGATAGTGATACAGGATCAAGTGAGGTATTGTGAAGTTAGTAAATGTAAGTTCTTTTCTTTTTAATAACTTTTGATGATGTAGGAAACTCCAAGTAAATGCTTTTGGAAGGTTTTTTGTTAATCTAGATTTTTGCCTTAAAATGATTGGAAGCATCACTGCTTCATTAACCAAATTGGAAAACCGATTAGATCCACATGGAAAGTCAAGTGCTTAAGCACCTATTTTTGTTAGGTAAGAAACATCTTTTTCTTCAGGAAGGTAGGGTGCAGTGTCTCATAGTTCTGGTTCTGGCTTTGTCTTTCAGAATTCTTACTTTCCAAAGTAGGCTTCATCCTTGATGACTTTTGGCAATTCTCTGTCTTTAGCCAGGGCCAAACAGAGGTCCAACAGGCAGAGGGTGTAGAAGAAAGTTTGTAGGAATTTGTGCAGCTTTATAGAATCAATTTTTTACTCGCAAGATTGTTCGATAATGTTTAAAAATAAAACAAATTGGTTTTGTGGTTCCTCTGTTTGCTTTTAGCTCCAATTAACTTCCCCATCTTCTGATTTTTTTTGTTTGTTTGTTTCAGTGGTTCACCACTGCCCTAGGGCCACTGAGATGCATTTACACAGGCAGGAACTTGGTTGCCTTTGAAGAGTTTTAGCCCTGGCTCCTACCTATTCAGGAAGGTTGCTTTGGGGAAATAGCATGGTCTCTCCACATTTATAACATAATCCTTGATTGCTAAAAGAATAATAAGGCCTTTATTAGCTCTATAGTAGTTTCTCATCCAAAAGCAGATGCTAAAAATGACTTTTTTGGTGACCTAAATCTACTGGAATTCAATCTCATAAGTTGTAATCATTGTTTTGCTATTTGTTGCGACATTTGGGTACAAGCCTGTATTTTAGTATTTTTATTTCGCCATCTTTTAAATTGATGATATTTTAAAGTTAATTTTGAGCTACTAAATGCAATTTATATTTTAAGGTATTGTGTACTTTAAAAATGGGAGAAGGAGGAGGTTTGGATGGGGGGTTTGTTTTAATTCTAGGCCATGATAACAGAAGGGGGATTTTCTTAGGAAAGGATGTACATATCTGGAATTATGGGAAGTACAGGCATGGCACACTTATTTTTCTTTCCTTGGTTTTTTAGAGTGAAGACATAGTCCAGAGAGGGAAGTGTAAAGCCACAGGTATGGGCTAACTGCTGGATGAGTGTGCTCTATGGTCATCTCTTTAACCTTCTTGCATGAGGCCTGTTGTGCAGATTTGAAAATATTGCATTCAGAAAGGTGATGGCTTTTTTCCTATATTGTGGGATGTAATTTCCTATTCCTAGGAAGCTAGAAATACTTTCTTGCTCTTTGTCAACTCTTTCTCCTTAGCCATTTCCCAAGGCAGGTTTATCTCCCACTTGAACTAGCTGCTGCCTGGTGAGAGAGAGAGAGAGAGACAGAGCGAGAGAGAGAGAGAGCTAGAGAGAGAGAGCGCTTGTGTAGCAAGTATTGTACAGGCAGCAGCTACCCAGCTAACTTCCTTTCCCTGTTCTACTTTGTATCTGACGGACCCTGAGTAAACTAGAACAAAGATGAGGACAGAACTTAGTGGATTCCATATAAACATTCCTCTCCTGGACCCAGAATTTGTTCACCATACTGATTTTTTAATCAGCACTGGAGCTTAAATAAAGTTTAAACTTACTTAGTATATTGTTACCATCTAAGAATTACACTTAAGTTCCGAAACCAATGGAATCTGAAAATATGACCTGATTTGAAGGGTGGTCACCATTTGACAGTTTATTAGGTCAGGGTTAGTTTTAGAAGGTCCAAGGGAGGCTCTGAGTTTATTTTTATTTTTTTGCTGACAGCACTAAGCACATAAGAGGGTCTTTCTGCTAGTCTTCATGTTTGACACTGATTGACGGAGGAGGTAATAGTGATTAAGGATGGGAGGAGGAAGTAGAAAACTTTTTAGACTTCAAAAAAGTGGTAGGTAGGTTCTCTTCAACCTTGTCATATCCTCTCAGTGTACCATAAATGATAATTTTATAGTCAAACCAATTTGCATACAACAGTGACTAAATTTGGTCCTTTTTGTCCTACGTTGATTGTAGATTTGGAATAGAAAAAAAAAAGAATTTTTTTTTAAAGATTGATTTATTTTAGAGAGAGACCATGAGCAGGAGGGGTGGAGAGAGAGAGAGAATCTCAAGCAGACTGTGCAGATCTCCATGCAGGGCTCTTTCCTACAACTTGGAAATCACAAGCTGAGCCAAAACCAAAAGTTAGATGCTCAACCAACTGTGTCACCCAGGTGCCCCATGAAATGAAAATTCTTTTTTTTTTTTTTTTTGAGATTTTATTTATTCATGAGAGACACACAGAGAAAGGTAGAGACATAGGCAGAGGGAGAAGCAGGCTTCCTGTGGTGAGCCAGATGTGGGACTCAATCCCGGGACTCCCAACTCCGGAATCACAACCTGAGACCAAGGCAGGCAGTCCACCACTGAGCCACCCAGGTGCCTGAAATAGAAAATTCTTTACAATATTTCAATTCTTTCTTGACTTTAAAACTCCCCCTCCCCCCAATTCAGAAATTTTTTCATTGTCTAGACTCTTATTGGAAACTCAGAGGATTTTTGGCTTGTTTTAAATTATACTTAGCTGTCACATTTTTGCAAAAAAGCTTCCACAAAGTGAGGTGCCAAATAGATAATTACCTAAATTGATCAGTATATTTTTGCATATGCAAAGTACTGGATTGGGAGCTCTTAGGAGACCCCACTGATTATATTAGAAGTACTCAATTTTTGTGTTTGTTTAAGATTTATTAATTTTAGAAAAAGAACACTCATGGGGGTGGGGGGGGGTGGGCGGAGGGAAAGGGAAAGAATCCCAAGCAGAGTGCAGAGCCCTTTGTGGCTGATCCTCTGACCTGGAGATCATGACCTGAGCAGAAACCAAGAGTTGGATACTTAACCCACTGAGCCACCCAGGCGCCCCAGAAGCACTCAATATTTGAAGTAAAATTCAAGTCCAGAAAGGTGTTGTTTTGTTTTGTTTTTTAAAGATTTTATTTATTCATGAGAGACACAGAGAGAGGCAGAGACATAGGCAGAAGGAGAAGCAGGCTCCTCTCAGGGAGCCTGTTGTGGGACTTAATCCCAGGACCCTGGGATCATTACCTGAGCCAAAGGCAGATGCTCAACCACTGAGCCACCCAAGCCTATAAAAGTTTTAAGCTAAAATTTTGTTAGTCTGGTTAGTTACTTTCAAGTAGTATCAATTGCTCACTTCTTTTCTACATCCCTTCTGTCATCTAATGCCAGAAGCTTGGTGGGGAGTAGATTCCATTTAACTATCTTGAGGTGTCACAACTTTGTCCTAGATTATTACACTTTTCTTTATATAGAGTGATGGTGGTTTTTAATGACATGCATTCTCTTTTATAATTTGACAGTAAGCTCTAATTTCTTCTATGCTCATATAACCAGACTTCACATTTTTGCCCTTAAAGATATATTTAGATTATTGAGGTGAAGTATAAAATCCCGTCACTTGAACTCCCTGGTTGTATCAGTCAAGATAGACCTCTAGCTTGACGTTTGCATGTGCCACCTGGGCCTTTTTGTTCAACTATGCTTTTCTTATGCTTTTCTTTGCTCATTCACTCCTTTGACAAAACAGCTGCTGTGATTTCTAGTATTTTTCTCTTCTAATCCAGTTTTTAAATCGTTCATTCCATTCTGATGTTCTAAATGCAGCGTGTGCTGAGCTTTAGAGGGTTTCCCTTATCTACCGATCAGCTTTAATGATTTTGGTTCTTAATGTTACAGTAGGCTGATTATCCCTATCCTCACATCATTGGGCTTTTAAATTGTTGCCCTTAGAAAAGGAGTAGAAAATATTCAAGGCAAAGAACACTAAGACCATCAGGGAAAGACGAGGAAACCATGAATGTACATTCATAGTGAGAGGACAGACGGTAAAAAGGGACGGAGGAAAAGTTAAAACCTCCTGCAGTGGACCCTTGGTTATAACCTTTCCTGCCATCTCTTTACTTCTTCTAATGCATCCTTTGTGGGAAAAGCCTGGAATGTGTTTCTGATTAAGAAATTTAAAAAACAACTTGTGGGCAGTTTTCTGTAACTGCTAATTCTACTTTATAATTTTCCCTTAACATCTGCTTTTTTGTGTTTGAATAATTGTTTTTATCATCACTTAACTTTTTAATCTTTTTTCTAAAAGTGTGACTTGTGATTAATTTCTGTGCTTTCTTTTCCCACAAGCATGTTGAATTTAATTATACTGAAATGACTCTTGTGACCTGCCTAAATAGAAGCACTCTCCTTCATGTAATAACATTTCCATCCTTTAAGTTTTTAAAGCAGTCTTGTCTTCTAATTATAAAGTGGATTTTAAAACATTACTCTAAAACGAGTGCTTTTCGACCTTTGGCTTGGTTGGTAAAAATTACTATAAGGAGTACATATCCTTTCATATGCTGAGCAGTGCCTGGCTGCTCAGTAGTCTTCTGCAGTACATACTCTCTTGTTATGCATGTGATTCTGATGAAAATGAAGATGAATTAGATATATTTCTAGTGAATAGTAAAAGTATAACAATAACCAGTGAGATTCCTTAAAATTTGTTGATTCCTTTTTAAAGGAACCCTTGAACTAAAAAAACAAAACAAACAAAAAACTAACTTGGTTGTTAACCAACCTCACAAAGTTACTCCTTGGTCCTGATAGCTTTCTATAGGAAGAGGCATGTGACCAGCTCCAGAGTACATGAAGAAACTAGGACAAACCTAACCAGTAACTTAACCAGTCCCAGCTAGGGTTACTGTCTTCTGCCTATCTGGGAGTCAGCACTTGGTGAACTGTGTGCTGTGTGCCAGTTGCAGTCTCTTCTCACTGCAGCCTGGCTTCACTCCCCACCCCCCTGCCACTTCTCCCACTTCTGTCTCTAAAGTAGTAGATCCAAGGAGCCAGGGTCTCTGGCAGAATAGAAGAGCAGATAACTGCTGTTGTAATTCTAACTTTTGGATGGTTATGCCGGTATATTAGACAGAAGACAGTTTCTACCTTCCATGGTCAGATGCAGACCAGGGGTCAGCCATTGTTAGCCAGGCTGCAACACTTAGGCCTATGCAATGACATGTTGCCTTTCATTATTTTTGTTTTTAAGTAACGCTATACGTTTAGGAGTTCATTTGTTTACCTCTTTACAGGCTGAACATAACTTCCTTTTTTCAAAATTCCCTGTGTTGAGAACTGAGCTTGAGTGAAGTGAAATCTTTGAGGTAAGGCAATCCTAATGATAAAAATGGAAAGAAGGCCTGCGCAGTTTGGGAGCCTTCAGAGATAGAGTTTTAGAGTCACTGCCTAAATATTGAAATGCCACCATTTGTTGTTTGGAGGATGGGAAGCTAAATTGAGAATGGGAGCACCACATCTGCCTTGACTGCTAAGTATATCCATTTCTACTGCTCACCCATAATAGAATTTTTATGTGGCATTCATTAATCTTGGTTTTAGCATCAGTTTAAAGGAAGACAGAGAATGAAGAGACTTACTTTACATTCCTCTCTTCTTCCCTTACATGTTTGAGTGTTTGTTTCTAGTGGGCCCTGCTTCTTTGTCATTATCATCACCCTGGTTGTTTTTGTTTGTTTTTCTAGAAAGGTCAAACAACAGAAAAGACATTATTTCCTAGAACTTCATCAGAAGGCAGAATATTACTATTCCATTTTTATTTTTGCTTTTTAAATTTTCTGGTAAATAAGATTCAGAGTAAAGTTTTGCCTATCCCACCTAATGAAGGTCATCGAAGCAGGAATTTTTAAAAAGTCCTTCACTCTGATGAGGAACGTTAGGGAGCACACTTTGCTCTCAGCACACCACCAAGAAGTTGAGGTTGGTCCAGTGGAGGTAGAAGTCTGTGAGCAATTAGGTTTTTGGTGACCCCTTCTTTAGTCAGCTTTCCTCTGGCCTGCTTCTGCTGGTGTGAACCACTCCTGTGTGACTATGCTGAGGTCAGTTTGGACCCAGCACCATGCTCATTGCTGTCTTTGGCACATGGAAACTGAAGTTTAAACCAAGGACAACAACACAATTTTCCTTTCCAGAAATATTTTCAGACCACATGAGGTGAGCTTTTCCACCGCCCCCCCTTCTCTGTTTTTATTTTTTTATTTTTTGGTTTTGGTTTTTTTTGGGGGGGGTTGTTTTTTTGTTTTTTTTTTCCCCTCAGGTAGTTTAAGGCTTCGGGGCCCTCAGAACCTGATTTGCAGAAAGGAGTTTGGAGGATGTGAAACAAGTTTGTGTTTCTTCTGCTCTGTTAGCCACTGCTATCTTCATGGATCTGACACTCTATTTATCTGACAGTGCACTTAGTACTGCTTCGCCAGGGAAAATCACACAAACCCAGCCCTGGCGCATCAGCACTTTCATTGTGTGCTGGGCTGAGCCTCCCTTCACATGCTCACATCCCCCTTTTAATCCAGTACTCCCTTTCCCCTCCCCAGTCCTGCCTGTTTCTGTGGCACTTATTGCTGGTTTCCCTGAGCTCCTGTTTCCACTTTGTGTTTTTTGTGGGGCCCAGGAAGCTAAAGCTGTGTGTATTTGTGGATCAGACAAGTGCAGCAAGTTAATATCATTGGCTTCTGAAGGGGAGAGTGAGGTGATGGCTGCGTTTAAGTTGGATTTCCTTCCAGAAATGATGGTGGATCATTGCTCTTTGAATTCCAGTCCTGTGTAAGTATTTTTGTTGTCTAATTTTTATCATAAGCAGAGGAACTGGGCTGTTTTCCTTGTTATTTGATGAAACTGGTTGCTTTCCCTGAAAGAGGGAAGAAAAAAATTGGGTGAGGAAGCAAGAGTCCACACTATTAATATTTTTTGTTGTAGTCTGATTCTCATTACTGTTGATTTCCTTGGGGGTGTAACTAAGTTCTCTACAGAAGGGTGCATTTGATACATGAGCAGCAACATCAACTCAAGTGTGCTGCATTCCTTCAACTTGTAGTGTTTTCCCATATGATAGATTCCAAGGTTTTTTATTTTTATTTATTTTTTTAACCTTAGCTTTACTGCTTTGCATTGGGTTTGCCATTTCAAACAATCTTTTGGGAAGTTATTTATTTATACCAAATTCTTAGACTCCTATCACAGAGGAGACTGGTTGCTAGAGTGTATTTAGTAATATATGCAGGATGCTGTATTGGCATCTAAACTATAACCCCAGGCCCTGATTTTTCCTAGTCTAATTGAAAATGCCACAGAATACATGATTTCAGTGATGTTAGATGAACCCCCCCCCCAAAAAAAATATAGCAAAACTGGATCAATTTTGATTGGCAGTTTGCCCAAATTTTCAACATGAGAATGAGAAATCTAATCAGTGTGTAGTACTGTTCAGGAAGTGATACTGCCATTGTACATAACTAGGTCGCTAACTTGGCCCTAAGCTATAGCTCTAGAGAACCTGAATTCTGTATTTGGTGGAGAAGAACACATTTCTAACTCCTGACTTCAGTTACTTTAACCAGGCTTCAGAGTATCTTGAAACCTCAAGCAGATGAGCCTTAGGTTATTCAAAGCCAAGAATATTAAATGGTAGAAGAGTCCCTAGATAACAGGTGGTAGGAAAAGTCCTTGAGATTAGGCCTCCATTGGAAACCATTTTACCCTGGGATTACGTGTAACGGTGTGGATAATAGCAGATTCTGAACAGTTCTCCGTGGAATAGTTTGGGGGCCCTCAAAGTTAGCTGGCTTGCTCATTTGAAATGGATGCTATGCCTTCTCTATAGTGTCTAAAATAATGGTAATTTAGATGTGTCTTTATATGTGAGTTTTTTACTGCTAAAATTTTATTTTAGCCGTAGCTAACAGGTGAAATCACAGTGAAGGCCATCATAAAGACCTAATACATAATAGAAATACTCCCATGTGCCAGATATGTCTCCTTAGAAATAGAACTTTGTGGCTCAGATTATCTTTCATTGTAACAGTTTCTCTCTATGCTTTGCCAAAGGACTGCCTTTGTTCAGTCCTTAGATACAGCATTTTTCCTCAACCTGATTTGTCATCTTTCACAAGGTTAGACTAATTCAGTATCCTGTGAAATCTGGATCACAGATCACTGCATGAAAGTTACCTGGAACATAAAAATGCTGATCCCTGGACCCATGCCTAGGTATTCTTATGCTTAGAACTGGGCCCCAGAATCTGTATTTTAGCAATATCTCATGTAGTTTACATTCATGCACACTAAAGTCCTAGAGCTAGTGGACTGACTGCAGCACATTCAGTTAGAGGTGATGGAGGAGGACAGCATTGCATCATTTTCCCCCTCAAGTGCGTTTGCATTTGTTTTAGTTCTCCATCCTACAAAAGCTTCCGGAAGTTAATTGGGTACTGGCTGTTGCCCCTGTTTTACAGATGAGAAACCCAGTTGAGAGAGGCTATTATTGACTTGCCTGAGGACAGTTGATGTCAGCCTTGGACCTAAAATCAAGTTTAATGATACCTTCTTTTTATTTTTGCCCCTTCGACCAGGCTGCCTCAAGTGTCATTGAGCCAGGTAGCCAACAGCTCCTTTCATTTCAAGTCCTTGGGCCCATTCCCACGGCTACTGTATGCCAAAATACCATAGTTGGGAAGAAGAAAGTTCTTGAGAATCGTGTTTGCCACTTTTTTATTGGATTCTCAGCCCTTCTTTTAACTCATACTCTTTAGCAGGAGACTTGACGTCAGTGGTTTTCTCTCTCAAGTGATTTTGCCTGGGAATGTGATCTAGCAATGTATCTATTTCAGAATTTCTTTACAACACAGAAGAATGGCTGGTGGTGGTGTGGAAAGGTTGGAGGACCTGAGCTGTAGTTCCTATCCTTATTTTTAACAGTGTCCTTGATTCTGCTCTGACTGCTCTTCAGCTTCCCTGGTTCCTCTTAATTTTGCTTGTACCCTAGGAGATGGATGTTGTCCAGGAGTTGTAGCTCAGGCCCTTTTCTCTTGGCTTTCCTTTGGCTTAAGGGGGTACGGATGTACTTCTCTATTCTCAGATCTATGTATTTATCCCCCAAGTGTCCCCTAAGCTTCCTATGCAGAATCACGTTTCCACATGGTCTATACTAGAACCCAGGAGTGATCAGTAACTTCTTTTTCCTCATCTTTTTCATCAAGGGATCTCCCTAGTGGGTCCTGCCCCCAAAATTTTCAGCATTGCTTGAAACTGGGCCCTAATCTTAGGAGCTAGTTTGTGCAGAAGTCTCCATATTTTCCCATTTTATTTCATCCTCTATATTGTCAGGTGTCTTTTAAAAGACAAATCTGAAAAAAAAATAAAAGACAAATCTGATCACTTCCTTGTTTAAAGATTGGAATAAAGCCCAACCCTGTCAGTATCACGTGAAAAGCCCTTTATTGGGTCTTTCCAGTGTTTATTCTCATTGATTTTCTAATATTTTCTCTCCTTTTTCTAATCTTTTAAAATGTTTGTGTACTCTCCCCTTTCTCAAGTCCCTTTCTATCTTTCTAATGCTCTCATCTCTTTTTTCGGAGTTTTTACCATGTCCTCGTCACTCCATGCTGTACAGCACTGTTTCCAGCCCCATTGTCCATCCAGCTTAAATCCCCACCCTCCTCCTCCCCAAAAAATCCCAAAACCACCCCCAGTATCCTAGCTGCTTTCTTTCACAGAACTTTTAGATATCTGTGTAAATATTTATAGGACATTATAATTGTGTCTTTCCAATTGTTCGATGTCATTGCCTTCAGGGCAGGTATTGCTCAGTTCCCTTTTATAGCCCCCTATAGTGTATAGTATCTTGCACATAGTAGGAACTTGGGAAATACAGGTGAATGAATGTTAAGCCCTGTGAGTTTTTTGTTTTGTTCTGTTTTGTTTTTAATTAAAGGTGGTCACTGAAATAAAGTCTCTAGACATTATCTCCCTTCCTCAGGGAAGAAGGCTGAAAACCTTCACAAGCAGATAGTTAGCCTGTTCAGTTGTTGAAAGGTGATATAAAAACCATTATAAAAAAAAAACTCGTTATCACTAGCTTTTTCTAGTACCAAACACTCCGACTAACAGGAAGATTTCCCTGTATCCAAATGGAAATTCTTCCTTCCAGCATACATGCATTTTGTCTTGTTTGCACTAGAGAACAGCTGGTACGTAATTCAGGCCGGTGTTTCTGGGTCCTTTTTATTCTCGTGTTCTTCTGTGCCAGTTTCCATAGCACAGAGAGGGACCTGATAGGGGTGGGTGGCTGGCTGGAGATTGGGAGGCAACAAATGTTTATGCCTCTTGAGGAGTTGGAAGGATTGGTAGGCATCTGAAATTTTTCTATTTATATAATGAACAAATAAATGGAGGTCAACAGGTATTGAGAAGAAGTGAGTGAAAAAAATGAGTAATGAAAAGTTTCGGAAATGATTTTTAAAAATTTATTGAGGTATAATTGAAATATAATATATTAGTTTCAGTTGTGGAACACAGTGATTTGACATTTGTGGATGTTGTGAAATGGTCATGACAGTAAGTCTAATTACTGTTTATCACCTTGCAGAGTTAATAGTTTTATTTTATTCCCATGATCTACATCACATCCCCATGACTTACTTATTTTATAACTAGGAATTTATACTTCTACTTTTTAATCCCTTCTACCCATTTTGTTCCCCCCCTTCCAAGGAAAATTTTTTTAAGGTTTTATTTATGTATTCATGAGAGAGAGAGAGAGAGGCACAGGCAGGTAGAGAGGCAGGCTCCTCGAGGGGATCCCCATGTGGGACTCGGTCCTGGGACTGCATGACTATGCCTTGAGCCAAAGGCAGACGCTCAACCATTGAGCCACACAGGCTCTCTAGGAAATGTTTTTTTAAACAGACATGAAGTTAGTATTTATTCACACGAGCTAGCGTATATTAAAGGGTTTTCTTGTGAGGGTACATGCACATGGACCAGACTAATAAGGAACTCCACAGCTGGAAGGTGTGGAAACTGCCGCATTTCTGACCCAGGACACATGTTCTGCTCTGTCTGCATGTGCTGCTACTTCTACTTTTCATCCACCTCATAACTGTGGGGACAGCATGGCTTTGCCTTGCCACTGCCCTTCCAGCCTGGTCTCTCACTCCTCTCTCTGTCTCTGTCTCTCTCAAATTAAGATATAATTCACACAACACAAAATCTACCCTTTTAAAAGTGCACAACACAGTGACTTTTACTATCCACAAAGTTGTGCAGCTTGTCACCACTGTCTTATTCCAGAACACTTTTATCACCTCCAAGAAAAAATTCTATACCTCGTAGAAGTCCTCTCCCTACCCCCAGTTCCTATTCCTACGCATCTGTTATAGATTGGTCTGTTCTGGAAATTTCACATAAATGAAGTCACACAATGTGTAGCCTTTGGCAATTGTCTTCTTTCACTTGGTATCATGTTTTTAGCCTTCATCTGTGTCATAGCATGACCTCCGTTACTTCTTGCCACTGCCCTTTTATCTTGTTAACTTATGCTATCTCTAGATGAAACTTTCCCACTTCTGACTTCACCACTGCCTATTTCTCTTAGCCAGTTCCAGATTCTTTAGAGCAGTATTCTGTGCCACAGAAGTTTCTATGATGATAAAAATGTTCTGTATCTCTCCTGTCCTGTGCAGTAGCTGCATGTGGCCAGTGGCTATTGTCTTGCTCAGTGCATCTCTGAGGAACAAGCCAAGCCTGCCTTTCTGTTTTAGGCATAAGTCAGCTTTCTGGCTAGTCAGTAGATCAGTTGTTAGATTAAGATCCACGCCATAGTCTAGTTAGCTGGGGGTCAGGGGATAGGAAAGAGGGACAGAACATCGACTGCCTCCCTGAGCTGGGCCTGGGGCCAGGAAGTTTTGAGAGAGATAGGAGAAAGAGAAAGGAGGGTTCAAGAATTCTGAACAGAAGTGTGCTTTCAATATAAAGCTCTTTGTTTTCTCTCTCCCGTTTCGCTTCCAAATTGTTTCTTTTATTTTCCTATGCCATGTTCCATCAAGAATCATGGTGGACAAGGCAGCCTCTGGTCCTGATTTTTCATAATTTCTCATTCTTAATGATTCTGCTAGAAGCTGAAACATAAAAAGAGATGAGTTGGTGCTATACCTCTCCCCTAAAACACTTGCCCCCTCCTCATCTCTCTTCTTCCCTCACTGCTACAGGCCCTGCTTTTCCCCTCTTCCATCCTACTCTCTGGTCAATACTTTCACAGAGGATAAGAATTTCCATAGATTTGCCTCTTAGGAATGACAAGGGACAGTAAAGGTACTTCTCCAGGGGGCTGCTGAATTCACTGGTCTTGAGTAGTTATAATATCAGAAATTTATGATCACTGACTCTGAGGGGCTCTCCATCAATGGGGAGGTAAGGCACACATTTGAGAGTGTTTTTAGTGATATGTAGAGTAAATGCCATACATGGATGATGTGGGTCCTTGCCATATCACACTAAGAGTCTGGTCCCCATGTGACTTTTTTTATGCAGTGGTAACTTTTAACTAAGGACAACACGCATGCTGGAAGTATGTGTGGAAGGTTGAGGTTAGAAGAACATTCTCTTCCAACACAATAATAGTTGATACCCACATTTTCCTTATCACCAACATATACCACATTTCACACAGCATCTGGCCTGTATAAGTAAGTGCCGTGCCCAGTATTTATTAGAGGAAGAAATAAGTCAATGCAAAACTCCAGCTACGTGATGTCCACAGCATCTTCAACCTGGCCTGATAATTACTTAGTCTAGTTATTATAAAAGTTTCAAAAGGGTTAAGTTTGAAGATTTTCCCTGGTCCTTAGCATTGAATAGCACTGGTCTAGGGGATTCTTCCGGCTAGTGAATTGGTATACACTGGGGGAAAGGATGGTTTGTAGAGTGGGTGGACACGTAGAAATGGAGAAAGATTTGTAAAGAGAGAAAGGGAGGGCATTTGTCTAGAATGCCGAGTCTCCACTGCACGTTTAGATAAACTCTAAATCATATATATATATATATATATATATATATATATATATATAATATAGACTATGCTTATCCTTTTGCACTAAACTGTGATGTAGAAAATTTGGAAATGACACACAAATGCAGACAGAAAGGCTAGACTGAGAGCTGTTGTTGCTAGTATAATTATGAATTAATAAACTGCCTCTTCTTAAAAATAGTGTCAGCATCCTTATCATCAAAACATATTCTGAACACCATTTGGGTTCTCTGTTAACCCTCCCTGGAATAGCAACATGATTAAAGACTAGCAGCATTTTAATAAAATAATATTAAAGCTGATAATTAAGCCTGTTGGTGGCAAGTTGTAGGGACCGACAACCATTGTTTCATTAGTTACAGAGCTTTTTTTTAAAATCATAGTAGCATGATTTGTTAGAACACTGGGATTAAGCTTCTACAAGCAACTCCAGTATATTTTTACAAACTTGCCACAAATGGTTTGAATTAGTAAAGGAAGCCAATAAAACAATGCATTTCAAAACACTTGGGCAAAAAAAGGATATTGATCTTCTGAGAATCAAATAATCACAGGAGATCCTAGCTGCTCTTTAATGTGTGAGCTCTCTTTGTGCACAGTGTTCATTTTTGTCAGGATTAGTTGCTTAAACTAAAGGGAGAATTGTTGAGAACAAGAAATTGCTCCCATCCCACATCTGAATATTTCTTTGAACCGGCTGCTGTACTAGGTGTGGCTGTAAGAATGAATAGCAAATAAAACAGCTTCTGCCTTCAAGGAACTGTCAGTCTGGTTGGGAGAGATAGATACAGCCAGATGATGCTAAACAGTGATATACTGTAATGAAGGTGGAAATTTAGTACAGTTTAAGTCCTGACGGAACTGATCGAATTAACCTGAAAGAGTATGGGAAACCTTCACAGACATTGTGACAAGAGTCAGTCTATATATGCCATTTGTCTTACACCTTTGATATTTAGTGTGAGATTGAGGAAAGGTAATGTGTAAATAGCTCCGGTGGGGTTCAGTTATAAGAAATTTAGGAATTAACAGGGTGCCTGCATGGCTCAGTCCGTTAAGCATCTGACTCTTGATTTCAGCTCAGGTTGGGATCTCAGAGTCTTGGAAACCATGCTCACTGGGGTGTCTGCTCAGGAGTCTCCCGACTCCCTCTGCCCCTCCTCGTGCTCTTATGTGTGGTGCTCGCTCGCTCTCAATCAAATCTTTAAAGAAAATAAATTTAGGAGTTAAAATACAGAGATTGAGCTACCTGCCATAGATCCAGCATTCTCAGGGATCTTCAGCTATTGTTGAGAAGATAGCAGTGATGGAAAAACTATTATTTTTCCTTTAAAGAAAACTAGCATTTTCCTTAGGGTTGATATTAGGACACGGCAAATTTGAATATGATGAAGTGGTTAATTAACCATGCTAGCGATTTGGAATTTAAGTTGTTAATGGTTGAGCAAGATCTTAGGCAGTGGTAGGAAAAGGACTTTGATTCTTTCTCAGTGGAAACATTTGTAGTCCAGGAATGAATCCTCTTAGGTTCTTGTCGGTGCGGAGGGGATAAAAAAGAAGGTATTAAGTAGGAGCATTACAAGTTTGATGTGATAGGACTGTGACTGTTTAAAAGGCAAAGCTTTGTTTCGGTCTGGGAGAGGCAGAACTCAAGAGCATGGGGACTAGGCCTGAGACATCAACATTCAAAAGCCAACTTTCTCCCTCTCCCCGCTCCACTTCCCCCAGCCCCTGCCCCAAAGTGGGATTCAGACTCAACAACCCTGAGATTGTCACATGCTCTACTGATGACTGAGCCAGCCAGGAGCCCCAGGCTGACATTAACTCATTTCTTAGCTCAGGCTTTGGAAATCAAGTGCTTCCGTTTTAACATCTGCTAAAAGAAAACTTTTCACCTGTCATTGTATACATAGGGAGTTTTGAATCTTACCCATAATCAGTAGTCCTTTGTGATTTTTGTGCACGTTTTTTTAAAGTTTTGTTAACTGTGCTTCAAAACTGAAAACTTCAGGAACTTTACTGCTTAAGTTCTTCTGAAAATGTACAGGTAGATAAGGAATGAGTGATACTTGGTTCCTTAGTTAAAACCCAGAATGTCCTAATCAGAATTGTGACTTCATTTTGGGATCTAATGGAAGGCATGGCCATGGTGAAGGGGAGGACCAGGGAACTCTGGTATATTGAATGGCAGTAGTGAAAAGAAGTAGAATTCTTTCCCCCTACTTTTTCAGGAAGTAGTTGAGATCTTTAAAGGAAAAAAAAGAAAAACACCTCCCTTTGGAGAGTACTGTGAATACATAATGGAAACTATATTTTGTTTCATGCAGCTCAAAGAAAATGAACGGCACCCTGGACCACCCAGACCAACCAGATCTTGATGCTATCAAGATGTTTGTGGGCCAGGTTCCAAGAACCTGGTCTGAGAAGGATTTGAGGGAACTCTTTGAACAGTATGGTGCTGTCTATGAAATCAATGTCCTAAGGGATAGGAGCCAAAATCCTCCTCAGAGCAAAGGTAAGGGCTTTGGGTTTTATAGGTAATTTCTGTCATGTACTTGCCAGAATGCTCCTCTGGTTACATTCCAAGGGAAGAAGTATGTCCTTTTATAGTAGTTATCTTCCAGCCCAAACACATTAAATGGCATAAAAATAAAAAGTTAAGGTGACATCATGAGGATAATTTGTAAATTGGATCGTAGGCGGTCCTTTGCAAGAGCTCTAAATTCAAGAGACAGACTCATGAGTGTGTGTGTGTGTTGTGTGTGTGTCTTTCTCTCTTTTTATGTGAATGTCTCTTGATCTTGGAGATTGAGTGACAAAGTTGACATAAACTAACCACATAAGGTTTTCTTTGGTGTTTTGGCTAGAGTAAGCTGAAAGAAAAAGACTGTCCAGGGATGCCTGGGTGGCTCAGAGGTTAAGCATCTGCCTCTGTCTGTGTGTCTCTCATGAATAAATAAACAAAATCTTAAAAAAAAAAAAAAAAAAAGACTGTCCACACCCTATGTATTGCTTTCTGTTAGTGTTACAGAGGCCTGGCAGGATGGCTTAGCAACCAGGAGGGACCTGTTTGTAAGTAACCTGTTTGTTGTAGCCTACAAAATGAATGGAAGAAAGGCTGAGATACTTCCAGAAATACCTAGCAGAGTAGAAACTTCATAGCAATGGTAGAAAAGCCATTAGCTTTGCCCTGTACATGCACATACAATATTCTTTTCCAAATAATGGATTTCAGAATAATTTTCAGTGGAAGCTTTTCTATGGTGCAAATGTGAACAGCAGGATTTTTTTTTTTTTTAAGATTTTATTTATTCATGAGAGACAGACATGGGCAGAGGGAGAAGTAGGCTCCCTGCAGGAAGCCCAAGGCGGGGCTCGATCCCAGAACCTCAGGATCACACCCTGAGACAAAGGCAGACACTTAACCACTGAGCCACCCAGGCATCCCAAGCAGGATTGTTATTTTTTATTTTTTTAAGATTTTATTGTTTTATTTACTCATGAGAGACACAGAGCAAACGAGAGAGAGGCAGAGGGAGAAGCAGGCTCCACACAGGGAGCCCGACGTGGAACTCGATCCCGGGTCTCCAGGATCAGACCCTGGGCTGCAGGCGGCGGTAAACCGCTGTGCCACCAGGGCTACCCGGATTGTTATGTTTGAAGCCAGCTTAATAATAGAGGGTCTAGAAGCAGAGAAAGTATTTTCTTTTTGTGGCATAGTTAACCTAAAATGTAAAGCATTATAGTTTCTGAAAATGACTGGCAGTATAACATGCAGTAATCTAAAATCTTAATTGCAGAGTGATTTTGAAAGGAATCAATATTGTATCTCATAGGGCTAGAAGCCCATATTTATAAGACACACTTCTCCCCTCACATCCCTAATAAAGATAAAAGCACAAAATCTGCAGATCTCCTCAGGGCCATGTGCTGTTAGAAGCTTAATTATATTTGATGAGAACCAAAAGTCCAAAAAAAAGATATTAAGAGTTTCTTGCTCTTTAGTCATTTTATAATTTAATAAGTGGTCATTATGTTTGAGGCATATGGTAGAAATTGACTACAATGTAAGGAATGATTTATTCTGAGAAAGAATGAGTTAGTTCCTGGTAGACTATAAGCCGCAAGAGTGCCGGGCCCCTGTTTCTTTTTCTGTTCCTGAGGGTCTTGCCTAGCACACTACCTGGTGCTCCAAGTAGGGTGGCTTGAATGGCATGGTACTGTGACATTTGTAAGGGAAGTTATCTTTCCCAGAGAAGTTAGAGGAGCAGCTAAGGAATTTTAGTAGAATTCAGAGAGTATAACAATAAGGAAAATGTGTAGAAAGTAACGGGTTTTTTTTTTTGCCTCACTCTCCCCCTCCTCTCTTTTTCTCTCTCCTTTGGAGTTGGGGTGTGTGCTAATTTTAATAAACCCAGCCTTCTCTTTGAAGTTGCAGTATGTCCGTGGTGGAGGCAGTGCTGTAGGAATTATCTGCTTCCAAAGGACTGGTTTGATTTGGTGAAATTTTGTTTATTGCAGGGTGCTGTTTTGTTACATTTTACACCCGCAAAGCTGCATTAGAAGCTCAGAATGCTCTTCACAACATGAAGGTCCTCCCAGGGGTAAGAAAGCTCCTACTAATAAGTGGAACGGTGGTTTTGACATATGGAACATACTTACACATGTCAGGCACACACTGAAAACCATTTTGGGAAAAAGGTGACTGCCACAGAGATTGATATAAAGGAAGACATGAAGGGAACATTTAAAAGAAGATAGGCTGAAAGTCGTTTAGTTTTCTCTTAGCCAACAGAATTTCGACTTTGGATTCACATTCTGTCTGATATTTTGGGAAGAAATGATTGTGAGGCAGATGTGAGGTCAGAGAAAACTCTTAAGGCTCTAGTTTTGATACTTGCCTTTAGAGTCCTCATATTTCTGAATGCTCTCAATGTGTACAGTGATATTTGTGTGTTTTCCTTTTTAGATGCATCATCCTATACAGATGAAACCTGCTGACAGTGAGAAAAACAATGGTAAGCAATGGTGTTAAGCCCCCTCCCCTTATAAGATTTCTTCTACTTTACTGTTCGTTCTGTTGGCATCTGGATTGTATTTGCTTTAAGCAATTGTTTTTTGTTTTTTTAATTGACACCTAAGGAACATAAAACATTAAATTTGTTTCTGGTGTGCAGTATAACTATTCAGTACTTGTATGTATTTGAAATGATCACCCATGGTAAGTGAGTTACTATCCGTGAACATTCCAAAAATGTTATTCTTTTGATGAGAATTTTTAAGATCTACTTTCTAGGCAACTTTCAAATATGCAGTATAGTACTATTAACTAAAGTTACCACGCTAAATTATTTTCTTTTTTTTTTTTTTTTAAAGATTTTATTTATTTATTCAGAGACACAGGGAGAAGGGGAAGCAGGCTCCATGCAGGGAGCCCGATGTGGGACTTGATCCCGAGTCTCCGGATCACTCCCAAGGCTGCAGGCGGCGCCAAACCGCTGCGCCACTAGGGCTGCCCCTAAATTATTTTCTAATGGGAAGTTTGTACCTTTTGATCTTTTTCTTTTCAGCCTTTTTGCCCACTCCCATATGTCCAACCCTTGGCAACCACCAATCCTGTTCTGTGTATTTGTGAATCTGGGTTTTTTTTTTTTTTTTTTAAGATTTTTTGTTTTTTAAGATTTTATTTATTCATGAGAGGCCCAGAGAGAAAGAGAGAGGCAGACACGCAGGCAGAGGGAGAAGCAGGCTCCACGCAGGAAGCCCGATGTGGGACTCGATCCCAGGTCCCTAGGATCACACCCCAGGCTGCAGGCGGCCCTAAACCACTGTGCCACTGGAGAAGCCCTGTTTTTTAAGATTTTATTTATTTATTCATGAGAGACAGAGAGAGAGAGAGAGAGAGAGAGAGAGAGGCAGAGACATAGGCAGAGGGAGAAGTAGGCTCAATGCAAGGAGCTGGATGTGGGACTCCATCCCGGGACCCCAGGACCACACCCTAAGCCCAAGGCAGATGCTCAACCACTGAGCCACCCAGGCATCCTTTTTTGTTTGTTTTTAAGATTTTACATATAAGTGAGATCATAGAGTATCTTTGTCTTAACTTATTTCACTTAGCATAATGCCCTCCATTCTTTCTTATGGCTGAATAATATCCAGGGTGTGTGTATGTGTGTACTCCACATTTTCTTTATCCAGTTATCTGTTGATGGACACTTAGGTTGTTCCCATATCTTGGCTGTTGAAAATAATGCTGCAGGAACACCTGGGTGGCTCAGCAGTTGAGCGTCTGTCTTCAGCTCAGAGCATGATCCTAGAGTCCCAGGATTAAGTTCCACATTGGGCTCCTTGCATGGAACCTGCTTCTCCCTCTGCCTGTGCCTCTGTCCCCTGCCCCCCTCTGTGTCTCTCATGAATAAATAAATAAAATTTAAAAAAAAAAAAAAAGAAAAAAACATATGTGGTAAAACTTTTTTAAAAAGAGAAAAAATAAAGAGAAAATAATGCTGTAGTGGATATGGGTATGCAGTTTTTTCTTTTTCTTTTTTTTTTTTTTTTTTTCAAGATTTTAAAGTAACCTCTACACCCAGTGTGGGACTCAGACTCACAACCCCAAGGTCAAGAGTTGCACACTCCATTGACTCAGCCAGCCAGGTGCCCTGGGGCGGGGGCTGGGGGGGGCAGCTTTTTGAGTTAGTGTTTTCATTTTCTTCAGATAAATACACAGAAGTGGAATTGTGGGATCATATGGTAGCTCTCTCTTTAATTTTTTGAGGAACCTCCATATTATTTTTTTTACAGAGGCTGCAACCAGTTTATATTCCCACCAGTGGTGCACAAGGGCTCTCTTCTTCACATTCTCACTAACTCTTGTTATTTCTTGTCTTTTTTATTATAGCCGTTCTAACAGGTGCGAGGTATTACTCATTCTGGTTTTGATTTGTATTTCCTTGATAATTAGTGATGTTGAGCATCTTTTCATATATCTGATGGCCATCTCTATGTCTTTGGAAAAATATCTGTTCAGATTGCTCATTTTTTAACTAGATGTTTTGTTTTGTTTGCTAGCTATTGAGTTGTACGAGTTTTTTCATATATATATCTTAGATATTAACCCTTTATCAGATAGGTGATTTGCAGATGTTTTCTTCAATTCAGTAAGTTGCCTTTGCATTTTGTTGAGGGTTTCTTGGCTCTGTAGAAGCTTTTTTTTTTTTTTTTTAATAGATTTTATTTATTTATTCATTTGGGAGAGAGCACATCTGTAGGGAGCCTGACATGGGACTCGATTCAGGACCCCAGGATCACGACCTGAGCCAAAGGCAGACGTTCAACTGACTGAGTCACCCAGGCACCCCCAACCCCTTTAATAGATTTTATTTATTCATTTGAAAGAGTGTAGAAGCTTTTTTGTTGTCTTTGTTTTTGGAGTCATATCCAAAAACTTCTTCTCTAAGATCCATGTTAAGGATTAAGGAGCTTTACTACCTGTGTTTTCTTCTAGGAGTTCTGTGGTTTGGGGTCTTTTATGGTTTTAGGTTTTATGGTTTCAGGTATAATCCATTTTGAGTTTGATAGAAGATAGTACTCCAGTGCACTAAGTAATCTGTCATCTAAATTGTTTTTTTTTTCTTTAAAATAAATATGGTGAATAATGAGATAAATAGAGTTGATAGTTAAACAGTATAAGAACATTTTAGAATAAACTGGAATGTCTTTTTTTTTTTTTAAAGATTTTATTTATTTATTCATGAGAGACACACACAGAAAGAGAGAGAGGCAGAGACACAGGCAGAGGGAGAAGAGGCTCCATGCAGGGAGCCCGATGTGGAACTAGATCCTGGATCTCCAGGATCTCACCCTGGGCTGAAGGCAGCGCTAAACCGCTGAGCCACCCGGGCTGCCTGATCAATATAATTTCTTATGGACAGAAATGGGGGTGGGGAGATGGACAAGTTGGGAAGGAGAACTTAATCTTCAAGAGAATAATCAGAGGGCGGCTTGGTGGCTGGGTTGGTTGAGTGTCTACTTTTGGCTCGGTTCATGAACTCAGGGTCCTGGGACGAGCCCTATGTCAGACTCCTGCTCAATGGGGACCCTGCATCTCCCTCTCCCTCTGCCACTCCCCCTGCTCATGCTCTCTTACCCCCCCCCCAAATAAATAGAATCTTAAAAAAATAAAAGATGAAGAATCAGAAAAGGAAAGTGACAGTCACACTCACTGAAAGATATGTTGTGTTTCTCTTGTCCTGTCAGTTAAGCTTGAAAACTTTTCCTTTGGTATAGTAGTACTACTAGTAAGAGCAAACATCACCAAGTGCTAGGCAAGCTTCTGAGTGCTTTGCATTTAATACCTAAAGCTACCCTGAGGTAAACACAGTTACCGTTATTCATCATAAGTGACAGTCATGGAATGGTTAAGTAATTTCCCCAAGATCACAAAACTACAGTATTTTATCTAAATGCTTCCAGTTTTAATTTTAAGATACAATTGATTATAAAAGAAGGTGCTAAAATAAATGATGAAAAATGTTTATCTTAGAATCCAAGCAATACAGTATAAAAGGCATAGAGCCAGGATTCAAATATAGACAGTCTGACTCCAGAGTCTATTCTACACCACCTCTTGTAGTAATAATGTTCAAGCCTTTTGTGTTTTACTCTCTTAGCAGTGGAAGACAGGAAGCTGTTTATTGGTATGATTTCCAAGAAGTGCACTGAAAATGACATCCGAGTCATGTTCTCTTCATTTGGACAGATTGAAGAATGCCGGATATTACGGGGACCTGATGGCCTGAGCCGAGGTGGGTACATTTTTAGCTTTTAAAGATACTTGCCTTAAATTGGAGTCTCTTTAAGTTGAACCAGTGGAACCAGTGATCCCTGACCAACATGGCCATGTCATGATGGAGAGTTTGGGCGTGGTGTTGTAAATCTAGGTCCCGTCATGGCTCCTCTTACCAGTTGATTCCTTTCAAATTGTCCCAACCCCCTAAGGAGTCTGCACTCTGCACTTCAATTTCATGTGTTAAAATTTTCTCTTTTTGTGCTTGAGAGGTCCTTAATGCCAAAATGAAACACTTTCTTCTCAAGAGGAACTAGAGGATTATGATTCCTCCTTTTATCCCTTTATCAAGCACTTTCTTTTCTATTGTGCTTCCCTGGTTTTTCATGAAAGCACTTATCACTGTTATGATATATCTTATCTACTCCACTAGATCTTAAACTCCTGAAGGCAGGAACAATAACTGTATTGCTGGCATAGTACTTGGCACATAGTAGGTGCTCAGTAAATGTCTATCAGATAATTAATAAGCAAATGAATGAATGAGTTATTGACACTTCTCTTACCAGGTTGTGCATTTGTGACTTTTACAACAAGAGCCATGGCACAGACGGCTATCAAGGCAATGCACCAAGCACAGACCATGGAGGTAGGGAGCAGATTGAATGAAAGGGAAAGTTCCCTTAGCCTGAGAGTACTAGGACAGTTGGCCATCAAAGCTCTGCAGCATGTACAGCATCTGATTGCCCTAAAGGTTAAGCAGGATATAGATCTTAAAGTTAAAAAATGATGCTCTCTTTGAAATTAACATATTAGAAATAGCCCTTTTAAATTTGTGTTTTGTCACTTGTGTCTATCAGGAAGAGAGTCATTTGGCAGTGAATGAAATTAAATTCATCCTGTGTGTCACTGCAAAGGAGGATTTTTTTCTTCACGTAGAAGGAGGAATTTGACCCTTTGGCTTTGGTGTTTTCATAGGGTTGCTCATCTCCCATGGTGGTAAAATTTGCTGATACGCAGAAGGACAAAGAACAGAAGAGAATGGCCCAGCAGCTCCAGCAGCAGATGCAGCAAATCAGCGCAGCATCTGTGTGGGGAAACCTTGCTGGTCTAAATACTCTTGGACCCCAGTATTTAGCAGTGAGTCTTTGTGGTTTGCTTTCTGCAGACTGTGCAAGCTCCCAGCTGTTTCTTCTTGTGCTGTCCCTAGCTAATAGTCACAATGGCATTTATGACTTTAACATGTCAGAATTTTTTGTAAAACTTCGGGCACTGCAATATTTTTTAAGTTATGTTAGTATATCTATCTTACCATATCTCTCCCCCTCTCTCTCTCTTTCTCTTTTCACTCTTTTCACACATACTGGATTATATCTTGAGGCTTCTGCTACTATTAAAGTGAAATCCTGATTTTCTGATGTAAAGATTTAGAAATATTTCCTATGTCCCTCTTCCTTCAGTTTTTTGAAAAGAAAATCCTGAGGGAATCTTAACTACCAAATATCTTTCTCCATAGTTCTTTCTCCCAGATACGGAGGACATCTTTAAAATCCTTATTGAGTCTTCTTAAGAGTATGATACATGTTTCTTTCTACTGACTGAGAGGTCAGGATATTGACATGGACTTTACTGAATGAGTATTACAGGTGTATATTTGAGTGTACTACATTGTAAATAGATAGATACCCTTTAATTCGATCTCTCTTTTGTTGAATTTGAGTCATGTAGTCCAAAGGCTCCAGTTACTGAGATTTACTAAATCTATAATGTATGTTATAGGGGATCATCGCTGCTTTAACACTTAAAAGAATAGCAGTCAGTACTAGACACTTAAAACTATCTCATCTGTGAAGCTATCACTGAGGGAAAATAAGTGGTGAAACCAGTAGATTTGTATGGATAGTTCCAAAAATATATACACATAATTATAGTCTTTCACTCTTCATCCTTTAAAACATTGTTTTATATAGAAACAAAAGAAAGGCAATGATTTCTATCCCCCAGTACTGAGTTTGGCTAATTTGATGCCAAATATGGTTTTCATATTTCTAAAACGTTAGAAGAAATCCCAATTTTCCAGCCAGTATTTCTCTGAAGTCAAAAAGTGTAGATGGTTGGTATATCTCAACAGATTAAATTGCTTCTTAGTGATAGCACATTGCTTATAAGTTCAGAAAATTCAGAGAGATTTTATTCAGTCTTTTGCCAAAATGATAATATGTTGAAAATGGTCTCCATGATTATACATTTGCTTTTCTTAGAGAGTTTGGAGCTCTTTTTAGGGAAGACTCCCCTTTTTATTGCCATTGCCACCTTGAACAGTGCATGATGGTATTTGTTGAGAACTGTGGTCTCTGTTTTAGTTAGGCATGATCCCTACCCTCAGAGCTGTTCTCATTTAGGGAAGAAATGAAAGTGCCAAGTATAGTATGTATGGTCTACCAGTTGGAATTGGGCACATTGCCTGAGGTATTTAAGACAAAGATGTGGATGTATAAATGATAATACATTATCATTAATTCTAAGGTTCTTTCTGGAATAGGTAGACTTGAACCTGATCTCTTTTGGACTAGAGCAGTGGTTCTTTTTTTTTCTTTTTTCTTTTTTTTTTTTTTTTTTTTTAGAGCAGTGGTTCTTAATCTTTGTGGGGTGTCGACGCCTCTGAGAATCTGATAAAAATTTTGTGTGTACCCTTTTTTTCATTCTATATCTGAAGGTTTGTGGACCTTCTGAAACCTGTATGAACTAAAGGGTTGCATGATGACAGAGGAGGGAGGTCAGATGTTTATGGGAATAAGCAGGTTTGAATAAAAGATCCAGAAACAAGAATACCAGTTGTCCATAAGGAAAAGTGAGTGGCTTTGAATGGAGCAAAGGTTTTCAGCTGGTTTGTTAGATGAAATTTGCTGTTTGCTAAGATAGTGAATGAGGTCATGGAGATCCATAAGCTTATCGACAGGCCCTCTTTTGTTAAGGAATAACCATTGAAAGAATATACATTGAACTGATCTCTCAGTCTGTCAATAATTTGGTCATCTGCAGTAGTTGGAGACCAATTTGGTGGGGAGGAGATAAATGGGGCTGGGTGGATGTTGGAGAGTATGGAGAGGCTGATTAGTCATGAGTCTTTTGTGACCAGGAAAGAATGACTTCAAGAAAAACTCTGAAATGGTTAGATTTGATAATTAAAATAGTTGTGTGAAGTAGAAATTGGGTATCTAGGTGGAAACAGTCTGCCAAATAAGATATGTGGCCTGAACTAAGGAGAACTTCGAAGAGAGGAACTAGAAGTGGCAGTCATCCATGTGCAGACTCTCATTGCAGTGGATTGCAAAGCTGCTTGAGTCGAGCTTAGTTCTCTGCTCTCCTTCTGTCCTCTGCTGTGCTGCCTTCTGTTGCCCAGGGACTTGGGTTGGCTCAATACTCAGTGAACGTATCTGTCTGGGCCAGGGCTTTAGCTGTGTTGTATTGTCCTGTGCTGTCATAAAGCCTCATGTTTCTATTGTGTTGGCTTGGGTTCTTGTCTTCAACTCTCTTCTCTCTGGGGGCCTCTGCACTCTCGCTTTGCTGTGCTGTAGAGTTATCCCAGATGCAGAACCAGCCCTCACTCTCACTCTTGTTCTGTTTTTTGGTGTAATGTCTAGCTTTATTTGCAGCTCCTTCAGCAGACTGCCTCCTCTGGGAACCTCAACACCCTGAGCAGCCTCCACCCAATGGGAGGTAAGTGTTTCACTGCTGTGGAGGAGCAGCAGCAACCAGGCCACCAGACCCAACTAACAACAGTCTGAGAGTTTTGCACCGTTCGTACAGAAAACAAATGTTTACCCACTCATTACATAAACCTAATGTAAGGTGAACATCCCAGGACTCAACTACCTTGTCTCTGGAAGGTGTCTCTTTTAGGTGCTGATGTTAAGATTGCCCTGGGGTTTTCTGATGCTCCTCACTCCTTTAAGTCTGTTGAGGAGGGAGATGGAAAAGAACTGTTAGCATGAGTAGACTTATCTGAGGCCATTTTTATAAGGAGAAAATTGCAGGAACTTTGTTTCCACAATAAAGTGACTTTTCAGTGACTTTGAGAAGCCTTAGAAGGCATCCATGCAAATGGCTTACCCAGAAACTGCTAGAACCTAGACAGTTTACTTCTTTGTTTTAATACCTGTTATTTCTTAGGTGATTTACCTTTTGTTGCTGTTAACAGCAACAAATTAACAGCAATGGTTAAAAATATGGAAAACTTAATTGACACATGCCTGAGTTTATGACAAAATGGGGTTCCATAGGCAAACTTCATGGTGGGGCCATCAGACAAGTTAGTGGAGTAGAGCTTTTCCAGAGCCCCTGCCCCTACCTCTTCTGCAGTGGATTAAGGCTCAGCAAGTGCACCTGAGAAAGGGGTCATCTTAGGTGAACTGCATTTTACTGTTTGAGAAATTTTTATAGTGGTTCACTTTGTCTCAGGGACTTGGAGTTTGCTGTGTTTTTGAAAATTTGCTAGATTATAAATCTGTGTTGTAGTTTAGTTTTTATTCTCACTAACTCTCCCTCCAACCACCACCACCCCCATCTGCTTTTCCATCATCTAGTAAATTATTTGGAACACACTGTCAGTGCAGTTCAGATTTCTTGCTCCTTTTAACTGTTGCTTGGGTTCTACTTAGAGGTTTTTCCCCTCAGTGTTTTTCTCCTCCTTCTGATGAGTAAGCTGATATTCAAGTAGTGGTTTTTCTTTAGTCTTTCTCCTGTTGCTTTTCTTGCGTGCATCCTCCCCTCTCATTACCCTCCCCGCCCCCCAGCCACCTGGATCCTGCTGCATCTTCTGCCTGTGTACCCCCATTGGAAAGAGCAAGTCCTCTATAAAATAGGAGGAAGGGGCTTAGATGCAGTCCCATTTTGTGCGACAAATTTTGTCGTTTGTTGTTCTCTTGGACACCTGGCTTTGTGGTAGACCACAGACCTTACCCTTTCTTGATTTCCTAATTGCCAGGCTTTGTTATAAATATTCACTTGGGGTGGCATGCTATTGGAGTAGATATCTCTTCTCTTGAGTAAATGATGTCAAGTTTCTTGTTTGAGTGGTATCTGAATCTTATTAGTCTTGTAGTGTTGCTTGTAAGGCTTATCTAGAATAGTTCCTCTTTGGGACCAGCCTTCACCAATGTGTCTGTCATTGCTGGAAGGGATATAAAGAACCCTTATGTCCTGGCTGATCTCTTGCTTTGGATGTTGCAGGGTTAAATGCAATGCAGTTACAGAATTTGGCTGCTCTAGCTGCTGCAGCTAGTGCAGCTCAGAACACACCAAGTGGTACCAATGCTCTCACTACATCCAGCAGTCCCCTCAGCGTACTCACCAGTTCAGGTAAGTATGTCATTGGAACCAATGTGCCCTTGTGTGCCTTGGACAGAATCTCAAGAAAGAGGTCTTTCATTTTGGAGAGTGGTTAACATCCATTTCCAAAGGGGTCAGATTATGAACAATTAATGTTCCAATGTCCTCTTCTGACTTAGAAGAGGTGAAATTTCTTTCTTAGGAGAAGAGAAATTTCATAATTTTTAGTTTGTTGTAACTGTCATTTGACTTTATACAGCAACAGTTATCGGAATCAGTAACTGAAAACCTCTTTAAGAAGAGAACGCTTGAGTAGTATCACTCTTATGCTTTGGTTCCTTTTGACACGAGAAGCAAATGTTGGCTTGAGTTTAACACCCAGGTTTCTGATCACAGGGTCCTCACCGAGCTCCAGCAGCAGCAGCTCTGTCAACCCCATAGCCTCCCTTGGAGCCCTGCAGACATTAGCTGGAGCAACAGCAGGCCTCAACGTCAGCTCTTTGGCAGGTGAGGGACAGCCCCTGGATGTCATCAGGGAATTCTTTGTGTAGGGAGCATATTTTAAACAACCACAGTAGGTCACCATTAGAATGAACATGGTGGCCTGGCCCTATAAAGTTAGAAATAATCATGGGATTTCGAGTCAGGCCTGAGTTAAATCCCACTTTCGCCCCTTAACTAGCTGTAACATATGATAACCACCTTTCTAAGGTCATTTTCTCATCCACAAAGTGGACATAGAACACTTCAAGGGTTGTTAAGTAAATGAAATCATAGGTAAAGTGCTGAGCACATGGCTTAGTACAGTGTCAGGCATGTAGAATGTGTTTAAGTAAATATTATCTGCTATTTTGACAATAAGGTTTACCCACCTCTTGTCCTAAACCACACACTCACCCCTTTCAGTACCCAAACCGGAGACGCTTATTTTACCACATTCCAACTCTGTGAGAAAGTGGCCGAAAAGAAAATGGAGCAGGTCATGTTTATTTTTATTTTCTATTTATTTTAAATTTTATTTATTCATGAGAGACACACACACAGAGAGGCACAGACACAGGCAGAGGGAGAAGCAGGCTCCATCCCATGCAGGGAGCCTGACGTGGGACTCGATCCCGGTCTCCAGGACCACACCTGGGACTCAAGGTGGCGCTAAGTCACTGAGCCACCCGGGCTGCCCGGAGCAGGTCATGTTTAAATGATACTAGTTCTTGCATGGGTTGGAAAAAGGTAATGGGGAGAGCCACACCTGGGTGTGGCATTTTTTAATGTTCCCATGAATGACAAGGCCTGGTGAGTGTCCTAGAGCTGACCTGATTGGTATTTCTCCACAGGGAGAAACAGAGAGAAAGGGAGAGAGATAAGGGAGAATTTTGTAGTTCATTTTTGGTATCAGTCGAGTCTTCCTAATATGTTAATCCTGTTCTTCCCCACAACCAAGGGATGGCTGCTTTAAATGGTGGCCTGGGCAGCAGTGGCCTTTCCAACGGCACCGGGAGCACCATGGAGGCACTCACGCAGGCCTACTCGGGAATCCAGCAATACGCTGCTGCAGCACTCCCCACTCTATACAACCAGAACCTGTTGACACAGCAGAGTATTGGTGCTGCGGGGAGCCAGAAGGAAGGTGAGTGTGAAGGGAGGCTGGACTTAGGGACTAGGGCTGGGAGTGGTGTTTCTCTACCTGCAGCAGGGCTGAAGGCAGGCCAAAGGCCAGGAGGACCTTTTAGGTGGTCAGACTGACACTTTTTCTTTGGCATTGTCAAGAATAGACTGAGAAGCTATGTAAACTGTACTATGCTTTTGGAATGTTCTCTGGATGTGGCTCGGATCAGAACCTCTGTTTGCCCTCCTGTGATCGGGCTGCAGGTTTTAGATAAAGAAGCATACTGACCTGTGTTGACAGCATTTGGCAGTTGTCGTCGTCGTTGTCTTTTTCTTCTTCTGCTTCTTTTTTTTTTTTTTTTGGTCTAGGAGTCCCTTTTAAGCTCTTACTGGGCATTTTCCTCATTTTCTCATCTTTTTTTCCTAATTGAGGACACAAGATGATGAGACAAAAAGAGATACGACCCATGGGTTGATGAATTGGGAAGTGTGTGCTTTGACATAAATGGTATTTAAATTCAGGAGAGACTTTTTTTTTTTTTTTAAGATTTTATTTATTCCTGAGAGAGAGAGAGGCAGAGACATAGGCAGAGGGAGAAGCAGGCTCCATGTGGGGACTTGATCCCAGGACCCCGAGATCACACCCTGAGCTGAAGGCAGACACTCCACCACTGAGCCACCCAGGAGTCCCCAGGAGAGACTTTTTAAGCAGAAAAGAGGCCTGCTGGTGGTTTGTATGAATACAAAGTTGTGCTGACACCTCTGTGCTCATAGTTGACTGGATTTCTGTAGCCAGAAGCTGGCAATGTTTAAGCACTAATATGGGGGAAAGACATATATCTTCTCTTGCCATGGTAGCAAATATTCCTGGTATAGTGCATCCTCACTGCTCTGAGTCAAGATGGTTATGTGCCCTAGTAGGGATCTGAAAGAACTGTGGAAACCTATAATAAACCAGGAAAAGCATGAGGATTTCCACCTGGTGCTGTGAAGACTAATGAATGGGAGGAAGGGTGGAGAGAGGCATAGCGTTTTATGTAGAATGGCCAGAGGTCTCTAACTTGACATTTAAGCCGAGTCTGGAGGAAGCAAGGAAGCAAGCCATACATCCATCTAGAGGAAGAAGAGTAATGGGGGCAGAGGAACACCAAGTGCCAAGGTCCTGAGGCAGCACTCCCTGCAATAGCAGGGACGCCGGGTGGCTAGGGAATGGCCGGACTGCAATTGTAATAAGGCTTCTTTGGTTAGAAGGTCATTGAGTATCAGTGGTTGGAAGAGGAAAGCCTATTCTATTTCTGAGCTTGGTGTTAATCATAGGCACTTTTTAAAATGTAATTTGTTTTTATTGAGGTGTACTTTACATATTGTAAAATTCACCCTTTGGGGAATATATAGCTTTGTGAGCTTTGATGAATGCATAGTCATGTAACCATGCTCACAGATGATGACCATTTCCTTCACCCTCAGAAATTCCCTCAATATCCCTTTGTAGTCATCCCTCGCCCCACCTTCTGCCTCACAGCGGCCAATCTCTTTGCTGTCCCAGTAGTTTCTTTTTTTTTTTTTTTTTTTTTTTTGTCCCAGTAGTTTCTAGCACAGTTTTGAAACCTGTTTTGTTTGTAATCTCTTGCTACCTCTTTTTCTGTATTTCTGTATAAGCCTTTAAGCCTTTGGTTTTATTGCACCACACACAAGTCTGCTGACTTTATTGTCCCAGTACTCACTCCTCCCACAGTCAAATTCTGATACTCCTCAATGGGAAGGAGTCTTGAGTTTCAGTGATTGCTCTTCAGTTTCCTGTTTTGTATTTAGAGCATCTTCAGTTCTCCAAATGAATCTGTTGGACTACAGAGAGTTTTGTTCTAAGATTTCTTTATTTGAGAGCGGAAAAGCAAGGGGAGGGGCAGAGGGAGAGAAAGAATCCTCACACAGGCTACCTGCAGAACCCTGTGCGGGGCTCGATCCCAGGATCCTGAGATCGTGACCTGAGCCAAAATCAAGAATCAGCTGCTTAACTGACTGAGCCACCCAGGCACCCCAGGCTGCAGACAGTTTTAATGCAGGTGGAAATGAGAAACAGTGGTAGTTGGGTGGGGGAGTGGAATGGGGGTAAACTTGACACTGATGCCTTTTCAATCAATGGGTATTTTGAAGGTCCAGAGGGAGCCAACCTGTTCATCTACCACCTGCCCCAGGAGTTTGGAGATCAGGACCTGCTACAGATGTTTATGCCCTTTGGAAATGTCGTGTCTGCCAAGGTTTTCATAGATAAGCAGACAAACCTGAGCAAGTGTTTTGGTATGTTGACTTCACTTCTGGCTTTGGGAGATTTAAGTATTGTTACCACTGAGAATGAGAAGAGGCTGATAGCAGGAAGAGCTGGGTTTGAGTTTGGGTTACTGTTTAACTCAACCTTAGGCAGATAACGTGACCTCTTGTCGAGCCTCAGTTTTTTTTTCATTTTTGTAGCAGGGATGGTAGATTTCTATCCACACTGTTGTTCCAGAGGTACAAAATAATACATGGAAATAGCTTGGTCAGAAAATGTAAAAGCGCTATGTATACGCCTGATGGTATAGTCAGGAATCTAATTTATCTCCTGTGATGGGATTTCTAGAATTCTTGTCCCTGCTGAGAAATATAGGATATGAGACTATTTCTACAAGACATCTCTTGTTTAAGGAGGACTCAGAATCTCCTTGCCTCATCATGTCCCTAACCCAGGGTTCTGCTTGGATACACAGGTTTTGTAAGTTACGACAATCCTGTTTCGGCTCAAGCTGCCATCCAGTCCATGAACGGCTTTCAGATTGGCATGAAGCGGCTTAAAGTGCAGCTCAAACGTTCGAAGAATGACAGCAAGCCCTACTGAGCGTGCTCCCCTCTGAGACTGGAGTGAGAGGGTCTTCTGGTAAGTGGGGGAGGAGCACCCTTAATGATTCGAAGCCCTAAGGCTGTGTGTTGACAGCCCTGGACCCTGATCCCTGCCACTCTCGCAGGCACAGCTTGCCCTGAAGACTCAGCTACTGCCTTCTGTGGGAGTTTCGCTTCGTACAGAGGACGAGTTTGTGCTTTGGTTTCCAGTGTTTTACTTTGGAGTTTAGGTGCCATATCCTGAGTTTTTTTCTTTATTTAAAGTTTGCTGTGTTTGTAACCAGTGTGTGTTGAGAAGGACCAACATCAAACCGCCCTGGGGGAGGAGGGGGAATGGAGAAACATTAAAAAAGAAGATCAGAGCTTTCCCCAAACTACCCCAAGAGAGGACTGAGTGAAACCAAAAACTGACCCTAGAATCTCCCTTAGTACAGGAGTGGATGAGATGAAAACTGGTGCCCAAGAGCCTTGGGGGGCAGAGGCAGGGTTGCCTTTGGAGGTGAGGAGAGTTGACCCATACCCAGTGGCCCCCGGAGCTGGAGACTGAAGCTCCTCCCTAGCCGCCTATGGAGTTCTTGCCACCTGTCTTTCAGATTCTTGTGCAAGATTTCTTCTCCTCTTTCCCAAGAAGGAGATGACAGTTCTCTGGGAATAAAGCACCTGTTAAATTAGCCTGACATATGCAAAAAGCAGGGAGACATTACACATTACCAGCTTTTCCAGCCACTGATTGGTGTTGGATTGGCTCTGCCTGGCTGGTGGCTGCCTTTTAGGGAGAAGCAGCCAGTCAAAGAGGTCGTTTTTAGTTTATTTCAACACATTATTAGACCATGGCTCATTTCTAACAGGTCCCTTGAAACAAGGCCTCTAGGGAAGACATTGTCTGGTTTCCTTCCTTGTAGTTGACCACAGCAAAGAGTGTCAATTCATCCCAAGGCACAGTTTTCTCGTGAGGGTAGATCTAAGCAGGGCTTACAGTATGTAGTTGAAGGGGGCACCTCTCCTGAGCAGAGAGATCAAAAGCCATCAAGTTAGGGGAGGAGGAACCTGCTTCTTGGTGTACCTGAATCAGAAGGTCTCCTTAAGCCAGAGTGCTACATTTGTCAGTGGCCAGCACTCAGTGCTTAAAAGGATGAGAGATCTATGATCTATGCTTAGCTCCTTGGTTGAGGGGTCCCAGATGTAGTATCTCCCCCCCCCCCCAAGGCAGGCCCTTCTTCTAACCACTCCAGCCCCTTCTGCTCTTGGGGATAGAGGAGATAACAGGACGTTTACAGCCTCCATATGGATTTAGTGTTCATTTACCTCAGTATTACCATGTTCATTTTTGTCCTCGTGCTTACAGTTAGCTCCCTGCTGCCTCCCACAGGTCTTAACTCCGGCTCTTGCCTGTGACCCACACAGCCTCTGGCCCTGCCTCTGCTCCAAGAAATGCTGTGGGGGTGGAAAGCCAGAAAGGACGTGCTGTTGGGAATGTGCACCTGGGCAGAGGTAGCCCTGTTGGGATATGACTCTTAGCCAAGGCCAGGGACTGGGCCCTTGGGATCTTAAACCTCACAAACATCAGTCCCTGACCCCTAGCAACAGGGATGAGATTAAAGGGGTTGATTTGGTATTAAGTCTTATGGGGGGCTCTCTCCTTGTCATGCTGGCCATTTGGGTCACAGACAGGGATTGACCATCTTGCTGTTGTACAGGTAGTTTGGTGGTGTTTGATTATCCCATTGAAGCAGGGACAGCTGTTCCCTTCTCATAGTGATAACTTGGGTCTGTTGTCCTCTAAGAGACGTGAAACATACTTCTTAAGCTGAACCACGTAAACTTGAATTCCGCGCACTGGGAGAAATGTGTCCTGTGTTTCAAGGATAAAACTGTTCCAAAGGCTTCCAGGGTCATGATGGGATTTTTTAAATAAATGCAAAAAATAAAAATAAAAAAGAAAAAAGAAAAAAAGAAAAAAATGCTAGGTTGGGGAGGCGCTGTTCTGAATCCCAACCGGCTGGAACCAAGAATGTCGTTTCTATTTTTATAGAAGTTTTATACAGCTCCGGGGTGGAGAATATTTATTACCTAAATTATATCTCTGGAAAAGGCCAGGATTTTGTAGAATCCAGAATGTGATTGTTGTACACACAGGGTGCTGTGTATGATTGAAACTACTGACTCTCTGTGGCCCGTTTGCAGCCCAGCTAATAATCTGCCAGAGGGGAAGGAGTTAATGCTGTGAATTGGCAGAGGAGAGAGCTGTGCTCCCCAGGGTGCTGCCGGTGCTGTGATAGCTGACCTTCTGTTCTGTCTTCCTTCTTGGCCATGTGGGGTTTTCCAAAGCCCAGAATTCCACTCCCTTCCTACTTTCTCTCCCTACCTCTTTCTCCTCCCCATTTCAACTATTATTTGTCCTGGACTCTGGGACCTTATGAAATGCCTTTTCAAATAACATGAAAGGCAAAGGTGCAATCAGCCTGCCTTTGGTAGCAGACCCAGAGGTTCCATACCTGCTTGTGGGTTCTCTTTTCTAAAAGGAGTATGCGTCACAGCAGGGCCCTGGGCTGCCATAGTGGCCAGCTGGTGAGACCAGGCACTTCTCTGTTCTCTTCTCCCCTGCCCAGTGAGTGAGCATAGTAGCACTGCCCTTGAGCACAGTTCTCTCCCCAGGCCAAAGATGGTTTGTGAAGAAGCTGCTCCCCTACAAGTCTCATGGTGTGGAAGGGTTCAGCTCGGAGAGTGGAGACTAGCAGTCAAGTCTTAAGCAATCCTTTTCTGTTGTGTGGGGGGTTTCACTTCATAAGTGTGTTTTCTGCCTATAGTTTTGTTTCTTACTTGGGTTTCATCATGAAATTGATTTGCCTTGAATGCAACCAGACACTGTCTCCTGGGTCCCACATGAGTGGCCAGGGCCTTGTGTGGAAGCTAAGAGCTTGGATTTCTGGAAACAAAAGGCTGTTCCCATAGAATTGAGGAGAAATCCTGGCCCTTTCCTCTAGAGTTCTCCCCACTCCAGCCATTTGTCTTCTGCTTTCTCCTGGGTTTGACGAGGGGAGAGGCTGGAGCTCTGTTCCACCAGAGACCTCCCTTCTTTTCCCACTACAGATGTGTTTGGGTGCCTCGGGGGAAATCCAAGCCTTAGGTTCCCTTCTGTCTCTGGCAGTTGGATGTTTTCTTGGTGTCCTCCATGTCCTTTTTGACTTTTCCCTGTGTCCATTGTTAGCATGTGCAAAAGTTCCCTGTCATTACCCAGCCCCCGCCCCGCCCGCCTCCTCATTTCAGGGCTGTACACAGTGAGTGTTCTCTTCTCTCTCTCTCTCTGTTTGGATGTATTGCTCTGTGTAACTCAGTGGGTCTCCCTCTTTCTGGTTTGTTTTTTTTTCTAGATTCCTGCCGTTTGTTCATCGTTGTGCCTAAAGCATGTCGATGTGGCGTCAAGTACATCGTCCAAATCCCTGTCTCTTCAGCTTCTCTGATGCTTGAACTCTCACCTTTGACCTTGTGTTGACCTTTGATGCTGACGTGTATTTTTATTATGTTTGTTTCTTTCTTTGTTATTTCTTTTTTCTTTTCCTTTTTTTTTCTTTTGTGCTGCCAAATTGGTTTTGCTAGAACGACTGCTGAAGGGGAAATATTTAAACTTGCATTTGAATATAAAAAAATCTATTTTTCTAGAACTTCATAAGATAACCACTTGATTTTGTGATTCCAATTCTTTGTAACTGTCTTCAGAGCAGCCCTACTAGCACATACCGCGTGGTGTTTGTATTTCTGTGAACACACAGCCAGTCCGTTTCTAGGCTTTGTTTCTCTGTGTGCTTAGTTTTAAAGACAACTTTGAAGTAAACAATGAAATAAAAGATGTCACTAAAACCTTTGAGGCTCCTGAGCACATTTTGCTGATACAGTTTGTGGGGCTTGAGGAGACCGCATGTGTTCTTTTGTTTTTCTGAGTTGTCAACTGCAGAAAACACCTGAACCCCCTTTCCTTTTTGACCGCAGGCTGCAGTCTGGGCCCCAGCCAGCCCTTTTTCTTTTTCTTTTTCTTTTGTGGTTCTTCCCTGTAGTGACCCTGCAGGGAGCCTTCAAATCCCTCTGGCCCCTTCCCCTCAGCCCCGCTGTGCCCACCTCCATGCTTGTTCCTACAGTCTCCACAGCAAAATGTGATGCTTTGATTTTTTTTTTTTTTGTTTTTGTATTGTTTTTGTGTTTTTGTTTTGAATTTTTTCCTTTCCTACTAAGATTATGCCCAGAAAAAACAAGTTTTGCATGTTTCCTGCTGTTTCTTCACACCTTCGTATATATCACCTTCACCTCTCTGTTTTCTATAGTTTGTGCAAAAACTGACCGATTTAAAAGGGTTTCAAAGAAGCTGTTTTAAATTGTTGTGGGGTTGATTATTTTTTTCAAGATTGTATTGTTTTATTTTGAAGTGGCAACTTTCTCCTCTATTGCCCTTAGAGCGTTTGCCTGTGCACTTAGACTGTCACCTTATGTGGCCTCCAGGCCTCAGCGGGGCAGGGAGAGGGGGGCAGTCCAGGAGGCTGGCTGCTCTGCTCAGTGATGGGTGGGAAGGGGCATCCCCCCTCCCCCCCCCAAGAGGCATGAGGAGCAGAGATAGAACCCAGAAGGTGGCTGCGGGATGGGGGGGTGGGGGGTGGGAAGAGGTTTAGAGTATTAGGGGTAGTGAGTGTCCCTCAGCCCCAAAGAAGGAGGGTGCTCTTAACCACTCGGAGGAGGCCATCTGTGCACTAAGTGGCAATATACCTGCCAGCGCTTTTCCTAGGTGACAAGCACAATACTACAGTCTTCACACTGTTTACAGCCCTGGGCACCAACTACCCCACACTGGCTCTTCACCGAAGCTCTGCCCTTGCTTAGCTAGTGGGGTGGGGGTGAGGGCAGGGATTTTTTTTTTTTTTAAATTGGGTGAAGAGCCAAAAAGCTACTGTCCCTGGGTGCCAGGCAAGCCAGTTCCTTGGTTCCCTGAAGGGAACTTGCTCTCCTCTCTTGTGGCACCATCCAGCCTCAGGGTCTTAGGGACTTTTGAGTAAGAATTTGAATGGCGGAGGGAGAGGCCAGAGGAGACTAGAGGTCACAAGATGGATCTGTGGAGGTAAGAGGTTGCAGAGGGAGGAGTTTGTGATAGATTCCACCCAGACCTAAGTTGCTGGTGGGTGGGAGAGCTGGGAAGTAGGATTATCCAGGGAAGGGTGAAGAAGGGTAGCCGAGGGACTGGGGGGAGGGGGGTGGGGAAGGTAGAAGCACTGTTAGCATCATCCATACAGGGGTTGATGAAGGAAGGGATCCTGGCAGAATTTTTGCTCTGGGACCCGCAAGTTGCCTAGTATTATGCTTGAGGCCACTCTCACTAAGAGGAAGGGGCGGCCAAATGGAGGCCCAGTGGATGGTAGGCTGCTTAATTTCCTGGAAGGGGTGATTGGATGGAAAGAGGCCAGGAACCCCAGCCTGAGCGAGACTGCCGTGCACCCCACAGTCTGACTGCACAGAGCCGCCTCTGTTGGCAGAAGGCGCTGAGGCTCCCCTTCCTGTGTATTCAGAATCCGTGTTTGCCAATATATTTTGCTTTCAATTCCAAGAGGAGCTCTGGGAAAACCTGTGGATAAAACCAAATGCCAAACGTTTTGGACGTTGTTTCCTTTTCCTTTTTCTTTCTCTGATTGTTTTAATTGTTCTGTGGTGGTTTTAATGGATTTGAGACCCTGGAGCGGCAGCTGCCTTTCTGATTTCCAGCTGCTTTTTGTGAATAATTTAAAAAGAAAAAAAAAAAGAAACTTTACATTTTGGAGACAAACCTGTGTGAGTTTTTTATTGGTACAAACGTTGTATTTAACACTAGGGGTTTTGTACAGTTTTTTGCCTTTTCTACTAGAAAACAATGTAAAGTGATTTCACAATGTGAAGAGAAAAAAAAATTGCCACTATGACCAAACGCACAGTCTGTTCTGCAGCAACAACGGGATTCAATCAACTCAAAGTCGTGATTCAGCCGTAGAAATGCTTTTCCTTTACCTTGTTTGAGCTTTTCCTTTCTTTCCTGTTTTGATTTGCAAAAGAAAATGTCTTTTTTGTGTGAACTTGTGTTGTACTATGTAGAAAATTATGGATTTTACTTTAATGGTTTAAAAAAAAAAAAAAGGCAAGAAGAGCCTTTGTCGCTTTTCTGACCTGATCACAGAGTTTGTGTAGTGGATTAAAAAAGAAAAAAAAAATTGTTACAAGTTTGGAGCAAGGGAGTATGTGTTTAAAAGGAATCTCCTTCCTTTTTGTGTGTTTTTCCTTTTGTCCCAATGGGGAACCTAAATCTGTTTTAATTGCACAGACACACGGACAAAAAGTCATTTTGTATCTGCCAAGTGTGGTACCTTCCTTTGTTTATTTGCTATTAAACTGTTTGAGAAGAACTGATGATGTCTTCAGAGTTGTTATTGGTTATCGGGGTGGTCCTTGGGTCTGGTGGGCGTTTGGGGGCATTCCTGAAGAAGGGGTGGGGATCCTGGTAAGGTTTCATTTTGGTGTGCCAGTTTCATGAAACCGAACTCACCAAAGCCTCCTGCAAGAACGTAATTTCTCCTAGAAAATACCTTCTCCGTCACCCTCCATTCTTCCACAACATCCCTGCTGACACAGGAGTACCTTCAAACCTTTTTGGCAACCTTGATTTTTGTGCTTCTTTCATTTCTGATAGTGGCTACCACACTGCAGAACTGGCCAAAACTGTGAGTGCAGATCCTCTCTCTGGGCTGTGGAGTTCTGCACCCCAGGGAGGTGCCTGACCAGCACAGGGTCCCAGAGCTTCCTCTCTGGGCCTTTCATGTTCCACCCCAGGGTGGTTCAGCAACTTTCCTTCCTCCCTCATCTCCCCCCCCCCCCATCTTGATCACCAAAGTGTATTTCTAAGATTGAGTTTACTACTTAGTAATTCTAGGTCAGTCTCCAAGTGAGACCCAACATCTGGGCCTCCTCAGACATCCAAGAGCTGTAGGCTCAGCACCAAGCTGGGAGTCTAGAGGCTTGTCACCAGCACATGGGCTATGGGTGGGTCAGGCCTCACCTTCCTCAGAGTCCCTCTGTGGAGTGTGTCTGGAGGAATATTTCTTAGTGGGAGTTGCACTGAATACTAGCCCATGAAATGTTCTATGAAATAGGAGTTCTGAAAGCAAATACATTTGGGAATAGTGCTTTCTCATTTGTGATCATTAAAAATAAGTTTAAAAAAAAATAAGTTTAAAAGTGAAAACTTTGTATTACTCTACTCTGTAGTAATTATCCTACCTAATGTTCATTGACTTTAACCACAATCCAAGTGCTGTGGGAAACACCTGTTACATGTTACATGTTTTAGTCGGTGAGGAAGCTGCTGTTCCCATCCCCATTTTGTAGATGAGCAAACTGAGGTTAAAAGAAATTGGGTTGGGGTGCCTGGGTGATGCAGTTGGCTAAGTGTCTGAATCTCGGTTTCAGCTCAGGTTATGATCTCAGGGTTGCGTAGTTGGGCTCTCCGCTGAGCGCAGAGTGCCTGAGATTCTCCTCCCTCTGCCCACACATATATTGGTGTGCTCGATCTCTTTCACTCAAAATAAATCTTAAAAAAAAAAAAAAAAGAATTGGGTTGCCTACTAGAAAGTGGTGGGCACTGAGAATCAAACCAGATCTGCCTGCCTCCCAAGCCCTTTCTCTTAAGCACCAGTGAGGAGAAATAACGCCAGGAAATGTGTGTCTTCTCACACAATTATACCCCGTCCTCTAGGCTCTAGTGAAGTGCACCTGGGGGTCTGCAACTTGTGGCTCCTTTAGGTTTTTCACTACTGCAGCCTTGCCCTCCATAGAGCAGCTGTCTGGGTATAGAGGGGATTTGCTGAAAACTCACTGTTCCCAGATAGGTTGTCAGTGAGGTGTCCCGTCCTGTGAGGAACAAGGTGCATCCGGTATCATTCCTGCCACTCAGGTCTCCTCAATCTGGTGCCACCTAAACCATTCTTTACCTAATGGGTTCTCCCCTCCCCCCATTGTGATAAAATGTATATAACACAAAATTTTCAGGGTGCCTGGGTAGCTCAGGTAAGTGTCTGCCTTCAGCTCAGGTCATGATCCTGGGGTCCTGGGATCAAGCCCTTCCTTCATCAGGCTTCCTGCTCTGCGGGGAGCCTGCTTCTCCCTCCCACTGCCTGGTGCTCTGCCTCTTTACGCACTCACTATCTCTCTAATAAATAAAATCTTAAAACAACACAAAGTTTCCTTAAACCATTCATAAGTAGATAATTAAGTGGTATTCACCACATTTACAGTCTTGTACAAGCATCACCACCTATGGTTTTTAAATCAACTTGAAATGCACCTATTTCAACTTCACCTCATTCTGACCATTAATATTTTTCATAAATGTGAAAATATCACAAGCTTGATATTTTAATTTTTTTAAGATTTTTAAAATTTATTTATTCATGATAGACATAGAGAAAGAGGCAAAGACATAGGCAAAGGGAGAAGCAGGCTCCCTGCAGGGAGCCCGATGTGGGACTTGATCTCGGGACCCCGGGATCACACCTTGAGCTGAAGGCAGATGCTCAACCACTGAGCCACCCAGGCGTCCCTATTTAAATTGTTTTTAAATGTAGATTAATTATATGTGTCTACATACACATTAAACTACATAACCAACATATATGAAATGCCCTTAAGGTGCCTTCTCAAAGAGGGTGTTTCACAAACTTCAGGGAATGGGGCCAAGCTGGAGAGTCAGAGGCTTTGAGGACTCCCTTCTTGACCTGTTTCAGTGACAACAAGGTGGTTGAACATGAAGTTCTCTCCCAGCACAGATTCTTCTGTCACTCAAGATCAAAGTGACAGATCTTGGCTTTTAAGTCTTTGCTGTAGGACGCTTGTCTCCTGAGGTAAAACTTGATATAAAAATGAAATGTGAGAAAAAAAAAATGAAATGTGAAGTACAACTCGTTATCTTTCAACTTAACATTGTACTTAGGCTGTTGTTTCTCTTTAAAATTTACCAAAAAGCCACCCGCAGCCCAGGTGGCTCAGTGGTTTAGCGCTGCCTTCAGCCCAGGGCCTGATCCTGGAGACCGGGGATCAAGTCCCATGTCGAGCTTCCTGCATGGAGCCTGCTTCTCCCTCTGCCTGTGTCTCTGTCTCTCTCTCTCTCTCTCTCTCTCTCTCTCTCTCTCTCTCATGAATGAATAATCTTTAAAAAAATAAAACGAAATAAAATTTACCAAAAAGGGGACACCTGGGTGGCTCAGCGGTTGAGTGTCTACCTTTGACTCAGGGTGTGATCCTGGAGTCCTAGGATTGAGTCCCACATCAGGCTCCCTGCAAGGAGCCTGCTTCTCCATCTGCCTATGTCACTGCCTCTATCTGTCTGTGTCTCTCATGAACAAACAAAATCTTTATAAAAAAAATAAAATTTACCAAAAAGAAAATGCCAAAAGTAACTGTTTTTAACCTTTTAAAAAATTAGGCTTGTGCACCTTTAGAATCGTATAGCTGTGTCTTAGTTACACTGTTTGTATTCCTTTTATATTTTTTATTTTTAAAAAAAGATTTTATTTATTCATGAGAGACACAGAGACACAGGCAGAGGGAGAAGCAGGCTCCATGCAGAGAACCCGATGTGGGACTTGATCCCACAACCTGGGATCACGCTCTGAGCTGAAGGCAGATGCTCAACCCCTGAGCCACCCAGGCGTCCCTGTATTCCTTTTTAAAACCCACATGCAGTCACCTTTTATTTTTGAATAGATTCCTCAGCACCTAGTTGTTCCCATGCTCCTGGCTCACCACAGAGGCAGCCCCCGCATTGGGCTCTCTTGGCCACCACACATCTGCCGTAACGCTCCCAGGTTTTCCACATACTGTGCTCCCTTGAACCTCTCAGTCCCTGATGAAGAAAGGCATCGGGAAGGAAATGAAATCCAGGTTTGTGACTTCACCTCTGGGAATGTCACACTACTGTCTGGCAACGTTGCCCTTCCAAGAGGGATTGTAGATGGCTTTTTCTTGCACCTTCTGCCTTTCTCAAGCATTTTCCTTCTCTCTCAGGAGTCCTTTCCAACCCCCACCATCTGCTGTTTAATTTCTTCTGCATACATTGACTCTCTTTTCCTGGTAAAGGCTTCAGCTCTAGGGATGGCTCTTGCTTTTTTAAAGAGTCTTGAGAGGAGGGGAAATGGAACACGTTTCAACTGGGAAGAGGCATCCTGACGCTCCTGTAGCCAAGGCCACAGGGCTTTAGCACTGGCTGCATCCCCACCAACACCCTGTCCGCCCCCTAAGGGGGTCCCACTGTCCTGAGGCCTGAGGTTTTGGTGTTTTAAAATTGCTATAATTCACCCACTTAGAGGGGACAAGTCCTTGGATTTTAGCATTGTGAAACCACCACCACAACCTAATTTTAGAACATTTTCATCACCCTGAGAAGAAACCTCGTACTCCTTAGCAGTCACTCCCCTTCTCACCTCCCCCTCATTCCCAGCCCCTGGCAACCAGTAATCTTTCTGCTCTATAGATTTGCCTATTCTGGACGTGTCATATAAATGCAGTCATAGAATATGTGCCTTTTGTGTCTGGCTTTCACTTAGCCTTGTTCTTTCCTCCCCCTACTTGAAAGCAACTCACAGCACTAGGCTTGTGCCACCTGCTCCTGCCATTCCTGGTCCTTCTGAGCCTGCTTTCTTGCAATCCAGCCACGTTTCTGCAGCTCCTGTCCCTTCCACTTCTCCAGCACCCCGTGTGTTCCCACTTCACCATCTGCCTCACCCTGAATCTGGCTGTCTTCTGGACCTGTCTACACTGTCCAGTTTGACTAGCCCCTAACCACTGTAGCTATTTAAAACAAATTTCATTCCTCACTTTCACAGTGAAGCTATATGTGACCGAGGACTGCCATATTGGACAGTGCAAGACCTAGAACAATTTCCATTATGGCAGTCAGTTACAGTGGCCAAGACTGAGTTTGATTTAGAAATTAGCATCTCGGGCAGCCCGGGTGGCTCAGCGGTTTAGTGCTGCCTTTGGCCCAGGGCATGATCCTGGAGACCTGGGATTGAGTCCCACATCAGGCCCCTGCATGGAGCCTGCTTCTCCTGCCTGTGTCTCTCCCTCTCTCTCGCTCTCTCTCTGTGTGTCTCTCATAAATAAATAAAATCTTTTTAAAAAAATTTCTATCTCCAGAAGAAAGGAAATAATTTTATACTTTGTTTATAGATTGCTAACTACCAGCTATTCCCCGAGTTCTCCATAGACCCTCCTCAGTGGCCATGTAACAAATGACAGCCAAGTCCCCAGAGCCACCTTATAGGAATTCTAATACAACTTCCGAGGCAGCCCCAGGGGTGCCATCCCATGAGGAAGGTAGCACCAGCTTGGCCCTCTGCTGCTGGAGACTCCC